TGACAAGATTCTTGGGTAAATTGCTCTGTTGGAACCGTTAGGACGTGCTGGTTGAGAGCTCTTTAGGAGCAGTAGTGGCTGGTGTGTGCGTGTGTGCGTGTGTGGTGCTTGACCTCAGGTCATTGTAAGAAGTAGTCTTTTGTAAACTCTAATTTCGCAGGTTTCCTATTTTCTTAAGAGCTCATGTCGAGTGAAACGTTTCGGTAACCCAGGGTCTGTAGGAAATCCAGGTGACATGCAGCCCCCCGCGCTTCCCAGCGCACCCGCCGCCTATTTATTTAAGCAGAAGGTGTCCATGACCTGGGTCCTGGTGGCCAAGTATTAAAAATGATACAATGGGAAGGAATGTCAGCCACAGATATGCTCCAAGAAACGCCTGCTGGCTGCAAAGTGATCGAGTGTATTCTGGAATGGAAACTAAAAGAAGGCCAGGAAACCTTTACTGGAGAGGAGAGGGGCGGGAGAAAGAGGGATGAGGGAGAGGGAGAGGGCAGGACCGGAGAGGGAGAAGAGATGGGGGGAGAGGGACAGGAGAGCGGACACACCCCGCCGAAAGCCACCCGAGCCAGATGCTGCCAGCCTGGGTCTGACAGCTGGAGAGTTTTCTTCCCCTCTGACCCAGGCTGTCAGAAATCAGAGGGGCAGCAGCAGCCCCCGGACTGGGCAGGTCTTTCCCTTCCTATGTAACCTAAGGATACAGAAGAGCTAACTATCAGACTTGCTGTATTCTTCAAATTCTGCTGCCTGAGAGAACAAGTCCACGCGTGGTTCTTGTGAAGTACGGAGCTGAGATGCGCTGAGCCCTGGCTCCACCGACGAGCCGTATGAGCTGGAATAGATTCCCGGCTGGTAGAAGGAAGAGTATCAGCTACCTCGTGATTTGCTGTGAAAAATGAATGATAAGATTGGGACAGAATTGAGCACAGTGCCTGGCAGAGCCAAGGCGGAACACGGAGAGCTGGCCTCTGTTCTCAGTGGTGGCGTAGGAAGAAGTACTGACACGGGCAGCTGGGACGAGGCCCCGAGGCTCTGAACTTACCACCACGCCCCCCCTTCCCACAGCGGCGAATGCATCCAGCTCTACCGCACACAGCCGGCCGCACTGTCACTCCCTGGTGCTGCTCAGTGAACCCTTAACGCTGTATACTTTCTGGCTCGTTTCCTGTTCACCTCAGAACTGCATACAGCCTTCAACTCCACTGACGGACACCCAAGGATGAACGTGGCCCTAGGGAGGTGATCCCCTGCCCAGCCGGGTCTCACCGACGTGGTTTTAGGAACAGGGAGGCTATTGGTGAAGAGATTTTCAACTTGTAGGGAATGAGGTTTTATTGAATGGTATACCAGTCTGCAATTCTTATATCCTGGATTCAATTTGCCTGGAAAAAAAAAAGCGACCTTACTCTAAGAAATTCTCTACTTACTTTATTAGTAGAGATTATTATTTCCATTAAAGTTCAAATTGAAAATAATCTTTGAGTTTCCCAGAGATCTAGTCCTGAAAAAAAAAAAAAAGGAACAGATGGCTTTATAAAACCTGTCTTGAATGTGGCGTATTTGCAGTCAGTCCAGCCATGTTTTATGCTGGGAGAATGTTTCATGTGGAATGTCTGTCCTCAAACTTGATTCACCAGGAGGACGTGACCAGAAGCTGGGCAGATACTTGGCTTCACTGTAATTCTACGTCAATTCTAACTCTGTTGAACTGACTATAGGAGCGTGGCCAAGGTTGCCTGGCCACTTTGAGAAATATGCTTAGGGGAGTTGAAGGGAGCTGGCCCAAGCTTTCACAAAGACATAAAGGTCAAACATGACCATTGTGTTCCCGATCTGCAGAAGTCTGTCTTCTCAGAGCCTGGGAAGGCTCCGGTGAGTGCCGGACCTATGTGTGGGGAGGGTGGTGGTTGATACGCTTACCTTGCTTGTAGGTGTTCAGTCTCTGTCACTAGGGGAAAGTAGGAAGAAAGCGTAAGGCAGAGAAGATAGGCATGTATCCTTTGAGATAAACGGGCCCTGTGCAGGGAAGATCGCTGGTGGAGAACAGTCGCAGAGAAAACTTGCCATGAAACTAGTATTGTGTTGCTGAGCAGAAATGCATGAAGGGGAGGTTGAGTAAGGTTTGGGATGAAGGATGATACCATCTGCAGGGGGAATAAAGGGAGAGAGGTTGGTGGGTGTGGGGGTGCACACTGACTTCATATGATACGGCCACATTGACTGACGGAGCCCAGCCACTTTGGAAATGGAAACAGCCACCAAGTGTTTGTAGCGAATGCTGGACATGGGTGATCATCTGTAGGAACCTAAACCTGGAATTTTTTTTTTGATCCCACGGCCGGCCCTTGCTTGTTGTGGATGTGGATAACAACCATTTCGATGTCCTGCGTGTTGGTAACGTTGAGGAAGCGCAGGTCACTTGGTGGCAGTACGGTTGTGGTTCCCAGGGTGTGCATTCCCATCTCCCCCACGAGTAATCGAGATCCGCTTGGAGGCGGGGCGGGCTTTGGGGATTGCCACTGAGCCCGGCAGGGTCTGGGTCTTACTCAGGTAGAACATCCCAAAGCACACTGGGTAATCTACTTGATCAAGAGAGAGCAGCAACGTTCCCAAGTCTTGGCTGGTTAACACCCTCCATGACGTGGGTTTTCACACCGAGGAACCAAAAGCCTCACGGCACTAAGGATATTTTTAAAGCAGTCTCTTAAAAATGAGGAACTATTTACTTTCCCCTGGTAATCAATCTTAGGGGGAGAAGCACTTCTTCTTTAAAGAAAAACAAGCCTGTTACTCCAGACCTCTTGGCTTCTGGGGTCCACACACTCCCTGAGGAACAGGAACTTTGTCTCAATTGAGTCTGAAAGCCACTGTTGACTGATTTTGAGTTGAGTGCCTTACTGCTGAGGCAGTGTGTCCATTGGCTTCAATTAGAAAATAAACCCCACAGGATCCCCGAGGGACCAGGTACAAGTTGGGAACATTTGGATCTTGCCTTGAAAAACAAAACAAGGGCCAGGGGACTCAGCGGGCCTCGTGGATTTTCTAGTAGTCAGGGTCGGAAACCGGAGGGTTGCTGCTGGCTCTGGAGAAGCATTTGAACATGCGAAGAACAGGGCTGGGGGTGTGGGCAGAGCACATGCCTGCCACGCACACGGCCTTCGGTTCCATCCCCAGCACCCAAACAAGAACAGCTCCGTCTTCAGAACCCAAGGAGCAGACACTGACGTCTGCGCTTCACAATGCCAGCCACCGAAGGTCAGGCCCTAACTAAGCGCTCGCGACACTCAGAGTAGACAGAGTGTACATTGTCCCAGCACAGCTGCAAACGTCAGGAAGACAGAGTGGAGGACATAGCGTCGGCCTGCTGTGAGGCCGGCCTCCGGCCTCTGAGGGCCAGGCCGGGAGGACAGGGCCAGCCCGAGGGCGCACAACACAGATCTCAGCCCTGAATTAAAGGAAAAACTTGTGAGCGCTTCTCAAGTTCTCATTGCGTCTTCCGGGAGACGGAGTGTCTGTGGCTCAGGTCCATAACTAGACTTAAATAAAAAGACAAAGGAATTATGATTATCTGTTACTGGGGCAAAAAATAGCCCCGTTCAAAGAACGGCAGCATTGTAACAACAGCCCGGGGACGGAACTGAGTGCCACATTATCAGCTTCCAACCTGCCCCTGCCCCAAGCCAAGGGAAGTGCGGGAAAGGTGACACATGTAAGGACATTTTAAGTGTGATATTGAACTATCTTATTAGCCTCTGGGCTGGTGGGCCTTCGCTGGCCAGGGACTGGCCATTAAGGGGTGTGGATGCATGCTGCCTTGCACGTCTAGAGGCTAAGGTGATGCTCAGCTCTGCTGCTAGTGAGTGGCACTTGGACATGATCATGCGTAACACCGGTGTCCAGAAGAAAGCATGAACACGGGTCTGCCTGGCTGTGCAGGTCCAGGTCTGCAGGGGACCTGAGGTGACAGTCGGGGACCCAGGCTGCTCTCCCTGAAAGGCACCTCCTTCTGGGAGTCTGTGTTCAGCACTGGTCCCAGAGAACTGTCAACCCTGAGAAACTGACCGCCAGAGTCCAACTGCTTCATGCCTCTCCCTCCCCCCTCCCTCCCCCCTTCTCTCTCTTGCCAGTCCTGGAGCTTGAACTCAGAGCCTGGACTCTGTCCCTGAGCCTCTCTGTGCTCAAGGCTAGCACTCTATCACTTCAGCCATAGCACCACTTCCGGCTTTTTCTGTGTCCGATACTGAGGAATCGAACCCGGGGTTCCATGCATGTTAGGTGAGCACTCTACCCCTGAGCCACCTTCCCAGACCTCTTGCTTCTCTATCTCTGTAAACACTATCAAAGCTCTCCTTTCTCCGTGCTACTCCGCTCCATCATTTTTCTGTGTTTGCTATCCGGGGCATTGCCGTGTCTTGCTTTTCGGGTATATTTGTTTAAGCCGTTATTTGCCTCTGCCCTCTAGGACCCATAGCTAAGTCCAGTTCCATCCAGAATACTCATTGCTATTGAGGTATTCAAGATGCCCGTGCTATTAATATGAATATTTGCAGACACCCGTGGCATTGCCGCCACCATTTTCTACCTTTGAACACTGGTTTGTGTGCCCGGCCAGGGAGCGATGACAAACTGTACCCCTGGGAAAGCGGGAGCGTGTCCACCACGGGGGAGGCGCTGTGTCCTCTGGGGCTCTCCCAGCCACATGCCGTCTGGTCTTCCCCGTCAGTCTCTGTCCAGTGTCTGTTCATACCGTCACATGCAATAACGAATGCTGCAACGTGACCATAGGCGAAGTCGGACTTAAAGGTGTCAGAGTCCAGGAGGATTCGGGGGGGGGCAGTGGTCACCTCACAGCTTCAGGGCCGGCAGCGTAACGGGAACAGCCGATCCCGTCCCTAGAGCTGTGACACAGCCACCTGCAGGCCCGCAGGGGCCACGCCAGGCGGCTGCTACTGTCCACTTTGAAAGAACTGACTTCTTCCATTTCTGTGTCTCCCTCCTCCAGCATGAGCCGTGCGGCCTACACTGTGGGAGCGTTGCTTCTCCTCTGGGGGACCCTGCTACCAGCGGCCGAGGGGAAAAAGAAGGGGTCCCAGGGGGCCATCCCGCCCCCCGACAAGGCCCAGCACAATGACTCGGAGCAGACTCAGTCGGTCCAGCAGCCTGGCTCCAGGGGCCGAGGCCGGGGCCACGGGCGGGGCACAGCCATGCCCGGGGAGGAAGTCCTGGAGTCCAGCCAAGAGGCCCTACACGTGACGGAGCGCAAGTACCTGAAGCGGGACTGGTGCAAGACGCAGCCGCTGAAGCAGACGGTCCACGAGGAGGGCTGCACCAGCCGCACCATCATCAACCGCTTCTGCTACGGCCAGTGCAACTCCTTCTACATCCCCAGGCACGTGCGCAGGGAGGAGGGCTCCTTCCAGTCCTGCTCCTTCTGCAAGCCCAAGGCCTTCACCACCATGACCGTCACCCTCAACTGCCCTCAGCTGCAGCCGCCCACCAAGAAGAGGAGGGTCACCCGCGTGAAGCAGTGCCGGTGCATCTCCATCGACCTGGACTAGCCCTGCAGCCCACCCCGCCGCCCAGAGCCCGGCCCAGACCTCCCATTCCGCCTGGTCTAACCTAGAGGCCGGGAGGGCCGGCGGCCACCTCCTGGCCGCCTGCTTGTGTGCCGTGTGTGCGCAGGCACACGCGGTACCCGTGGGTGTTTTCGTACGCCAGAAGGACCCATCTGTGACCCGGGCCTCTGCTGTGGCTGGCTTGGAAGAGGAAGGTCTGA